GAAAGGAAAGGAAAGGAAAGGAAAGGAAAGGAAAGGAAAGGAAAGGAAAGGAAAGGAACATAAAAGGAAAGAAAAAGAAGTTAAAAGGAGAGGAGAGTAGAAGAGAGAGGAGGGAGGGTAGGGGAGAGAGAAAGGAAGGAAGGAAGGAAGGAAGGAAGGAAGGAAGAAAAAAGAAAGAAAGAGAGAGAGAGGGAGAGAGGGAGGGAGGGAGGGAGAAAGGAAAAAAGAGAGAGAAAGAAAGTTTTGTCTGATGAGATCAATTTCGCACGACAGCTGACATCAAGCTGTTGAAAATCTAGCTAAACCTCGATGCTCCTAATTTGCAAAGTCCTTGGTGCTCTCTGAGTTTGGTGGTTTTCTTGCAGATGTTTCATGACCCAACTAGATCATAACATGCTAGCCCTGTCAATGTTACCTGGTTGGGTCCTGAAACGTCTTCAAGAAAACCACCAAGCTTGGAGAGCACCAAGGGTTCCTCATTTCAACCCTGAGCTGCAAACGTTCTCTTCTATTGGTACCTTTCCAATCTACATCGCATCATGGAACAGTGGTGGCATTCCTCTTATGAAATGCCCCCTTGATGGACAATTTGAGCAGATGCTAGCGCTGCCATTGCTCATTCATTCACATCGCATCTTTTATTCACTGGGGACCTAACAGCCCATTAAGTGTATGGTGTGCTTTTAATGGCCTCCTTTTTTGTGTGTGTGGGTGATTGCAAATTACCTCCTTATTAATATTGCCAGATGAAATGCTTTTATCGCAAGCACTTTGCACCAATTTTTTAAAAAACATGGATCACTTCGAGTATTTTGACACATTTTAGAACTAGGATGATGAAGACAGAATTACAATTTAAAATAGGCAGATGTCGTCATCCTTGATCTGAGATGGAGGGATGGCGGATAGGTTAAATGGCTAGCAATAACACTTAGCACTTAAATTTATGTACCGCTTCACAGTGCTTCACAGCCCTCTCTAAGTGGGTTACAGAGTGAGCATCTTGCCCCCAACAATCTGGGCCCTCATTTTACTAACCTCTGAAGGATGGAAGACCCAGTCGGTCAGGATTGAATTCCTGGCAGTGAGTTATCTTACAATACTGCATTTAACCTCTGCACCCCAAGGGAGGGAGGGAGGGAGGGAGGGAGGGAGGGACGGAAGGAAGGAAGGAAGGAAGGAAGGAAGGAAGGAAGGAAGGAAGGATAGAGAGAGAAAAAGGGAGAGATGGAGGGAGGGAAGGGAGAGAGGGTGGAAGAAAAAGGGAGGGAGGGAGGGAGGGAGGGAGGGAGGGAGGGAGGAAGGAAGGAAGGAAGGAAGGAAGGAAGGAAGGAAGGAAGGAAGGAAGGAAGGAAGGAAGGAAGGAAGGAATAGCAATAGCAATAGCTTTAGACTTATATACCACTTCATAGTACTTTTACAGCCCTCTCTAAGCGGTTTACAGAATCAGCCTATTGTCTCCAACAATCTGGGTCCTCATTTCACCAACCTTGGAAGAATGAAAGGCTGAATCAACCTGGAGCTGGTCAGGATCAAACTTCTGGCAGTGAGCAGTGATTCTAACCACTGCACCATCAGGAAGGAAGGAAGGAAGGAAGGAAGGAAGGAAGGAAGGAAGGAAGGAAGGAAGGAAGGAAGGAAGGAAGGAAGGAAGGAAGGAAGGAAGGAAGGAAAAGCAATAGCACTTATATACCACTCCATAGTGCTTCACAGCCCTCTCTAAGCAATTTACAGAGTCAGCCTATTGCCCGCAATAATCTGAATTCTCATTTTACTGGAAGGATGGAAGTCTGAGTCAAGCTTGAGCTGGTCAGGATCGAACTCCTGGCAATGAGTAGTGAGTTAACCTGCAATAGTGCTTTCTAACCACTTCGCCATCATGGTTTTTTTCTTGTCCAGATGCAACATGAAAAATTAACAGTTGCTAATCTTAATGCTGGCCACCTTTTCACAGAACCGGATCCAAATCAGGCTTATTAAACTTCACATTCAGTCTAGCTTATTCTCTCTCTCTCTCTCTCTTACAGGAGCAAGTTTTCAAGATCGACTCCAAAGGTGAATCGGGGAAGGGACGCTGCTCTTTCAACCCCAGTGCAAACACGGTCTCTGTTATGATCAGTAAGTCTAAACAAGCCAGGAATGGGGAGGCTTAAATCACGAGGTGCTGAGAATAAAATGACGGGGGTGATATAAACAAATTGAGCCAGGGGGCAAAGAGAAGTCACTGGAGGGAAAAAGTTGTCTGCGGATGATGGTTTTCTTCTGGTGAAAGTTTCTCCAGGTCAAGAGAGTTGACGAGCGTGTCATTCCGGTAACTAATTTCCATGATTTTAACGGCTGCAAAAATTAACCGAATTGGCAGAGATGGCTACATCGATTGTTTTGCTAAATATAAAGAATACAATTCATTTGGTTTCGACCACTTTTGGACTTCGTGCTTGAGGTGGGGAAAAAAATGAAACTTTGATTTGGGATTGTGTTGATTAGCTAGGTTTGTTGTTAGAGAAATGGGTTCTAGATTGGGTTCTGTCATGGCCCGCCAGTTGCCACTGGAGCTGGTGGCAGAATTGGACGATGAGGAGGTTGGGAAGGAACTTGGACCAGTTCTGGAGTCTGGGGAAGGCTCTAATGGAGGCTCTGCATCGGAAGCAGGGATAGAGCCAGGGCCATCCGACATTTCCCAGCCACCGGAGAGGCAGCTGCCTTTGGAGGCTGAGATGAGTGAGGAGGAAGAACAGCTGGGGCCTGTTCCAGATGCACGTATGCATCTGGAACCCTTTTGCAATCACATGCCAGGAATGGGGGCGGGGAAGGTTGCGTATGCACCCTGCCCCTGCACATGCACACATGACCCCCTCTCCCCCCTGCTCCTGGCATGTGATGGCCCTTTTTTTATTCTTCCCCAGCCTCCAGAGCCTTTCTAGGAGCCTGGGGAGGGTGAAAATGGCCTCTACCCCCCCCCCCGGAGGTTGGCATACTGGCCACTTCCTGCCTTCCTGCCTCTGGGTGGGTGGGGAAGGCCTTTTTCACCCTCCCCAAGCTCCTAGAAAGGCTCTGGAGTTTGGGGAGAGAGAAAAACAGGCCATCACATGCCAGGAGCAGGGAGAAGGGGGGGGTCGTGCACACATGTGTGGGGGCGGGGCGCATACACGACCTTCCCTGCCCTCGCTCCTGGCACACGATTGCAAAAAGGTTCATCATCACTGTCCTAAGTTCTTGGGAGCATCCCAATCTCTATGAAAGCCAACAGCAGCTAAAGAGCTGGCAACTGGAACTTCACATTTATGCATATAATAATAATAATAACAGGGGCCATTCAGCACAGCTGATATGGCTTTCTGCTCTGTTATAATATTAGTTTTATAACACATGATGTTACCGTACTGGATATCTGACCCTAGTAGAAGCAAACACATCCCAGGGTTCAGATTGATCAAACTGGGTTTGTTGATGAACCCCAACGTATTAAAAAACAAGCACATTTCTTTCTTTTGTTGAAATGGAAGTTTGAGCTGCTTATTTCTGTGATGGAAACCTTGCGCGCCAGGCCAATCATAAAATTCCTGTGTGACAGTCCTTCTATTAAACCTCAGCTCATATGAACTTTTGGCCCAAAGCTCACCCTTGCCTGCCTTCCCAAGAGGCTGGAGAAAGAAGCTTGCTATGGAATAAAACAAAGCTTGGAAGATTGATGTCCTACTCCGTGGGTCGCATATGAGTTTGAATGTATTAGTAGCATTCAGTTGATTGTCTTTGTTCTTTTCCTTTCAAGAGTCAGCAAGAAACCTTTAGGTGTGTTTGGCTGGAGATGCCAGTTCGTGTCTCTAAATTAATGCCATTTAACCAGCGTGTGGCCTTGCACAAGCTAGCAACTCCTCTTTTTTTTCTCCTTATGGATGCAAAGATCGGGGCATTTTACATCATCTTTTGGATGGGGGGAATGAGTGGGTGGGGAAGTTCTGTGATTCCCAAAGCCAAGAATTGCAACTGCAATCCCACAAAATCTGCCATGACAATCTGCTTGTGTTTCACGTCCTGGCCATTTATTTATTTTTTTACAGAGACACGATTCAGAGCGTTTTAACAAACTGCATCCCTGTTTGGTTTAGTGGCAGCCGGGCCTCAGATAGAAAGTCCCTACAGAGAGTGGTGAGGATAATGGAGAAGATTATAGGAAGCTCACTTCCCATTATTCAGGATGCTGCTTATAAGCGCTTGGTGCTTAAATACAATATTTTGGCAAGGAAAGCAATTTTTTAGGCTGTTGTCCCCCTCTTTTTTTTCCCCGAACAACACACGCACATATACACACACAGGATGATAGATAGATAGATAGATAGATAGATAGATAGATAGATAGATAGATAGATAGATAGATAGATAGATAGAGGTAGGGGTAGGGGTAGGTAGGTAGGTAGGTAGGTAGGGGTAGAGATAGAGATAGGGGTAAGTAGGTAGGTAGGTGGAGAGAGAGGGGGGAGGGAGGGAGGGAGAGAGGGAGAGAGGGAGAGATACCTGGAGTTCAATCCTGAACTCCATTGCTAGGAGAGAGAAAAAGAAAAAAATAACAGCCTAAAAAAGTTGCTTCCCTTGCCAAAATATTGTATTTAAGTATTTAAAATTGCAGCCCAAAGTGGATTTCTAATCCATGTTTATGAAAGGACGGGTTAAATAGCCACGATGGTTAGCATCACTGGACACATTACTTCCAATCAGACTAAATACAGACCAGGAAAGAGGATTTCCAAGCAATAAGATACTGTCAAAGTTGATGGATTAAGCAGAGATGGCTAAATTGACCACTTTCATTCAAGAAAAGAGTATAAGTACTTTTGTCTCTACTTGGAAACCGTTTCTGGGCTTTGTGCTTGAGGTGGAAATATATTGGATTTTTGTTTTTAATACCAAAGGCTGGTGACTTCTCTTAGTATGATAAATTGTTTTGGGGTGATTTTAGCCATGAAGTTAAAAAGAAGTGGGGCTGGCAGATATTATTAGGACCTGATAAGACAAAGAGGCTTAAGGAATTCTTAGTGTAACTAATAAAGCTAGTATGTACAAGGATTAAGGACGCAGGCTGTTTCCAAGACTAATTGTTTGGGGGGAAAAAGAGGCACAGACAGGAGGATTTAAAGAGAACAGAAACTTTTAAAAGCGACTACTGAAGGAACAAAGGATGAGGAATTGCAAAGCAGTTTCTCTTTGGAAAAGTCAATAAACCACCTGGAGTTTGCATCTAAGGATTTGTTTGGCATGTCCTTATTTCAGCTTCTTTAATTTAGCAAGCCTACAGGAACTTTGGAAGTTATTAGCATTATCTTGAAACGGTGGGTGGAGGCCCATGAGCCTAGAGGCGGTCGTAAATACGCCTAATTTAAAGACAGATGAAACACGGTAGCGTTTCCATCTACGAGTGAATTCTCTTTTCATTTCCTTCAGGCAGGAGCATCTGTTAGCGGAGTTAGTGTCGTTGCTAATAGATGCATCCAGCAGATGCAACAATGACTTTACGCGTGCCTGGACAGCTTTTGTGCAAAAGGCAGGGATTATTAAGTCCATGATGTAAATGGCATCATTGGAAGGATTTTAGTTAAGCTGCAATGCCTCATTTGTAGATGGCAGAGATGACTGGTCAAGATTCCCCATTTTTCCCATTTTGCAACTCAATTGATCGATCAATCAGAATAGAGCTGGAAGGGAGTTTGGAAGTCTTCTAGTCCAGGGGTCGGCAACCTTAAACACTCAAAGAGCCACAAAGGTTCTAACCGGAAGCCCCCCATTCAATTCTGGAGCCGACTGGATGTCCCCACCATAGAGTCTCCTCCTAGCGCAGCTTCCTTTTTCTTCTACTTGTCCTAACCGAAAGCCCAATCAATTTATTTATTTATTTATTTATTTATTGAATTTGTATACCGCCCTACTCCTGAAGGACTCAGGGCGGTGAACAGCCATGGAATAAAACATATAAATACAAAATTTAAAATAGATTAAAACGAATTAAATAATTTGGCTGAACAAATTTAAAACCCCAATAATTTAAAACCAGATTTAAAATTTCCATTTAAAAAGGGGAAAGACTTAGGTCAGGCTGGCTTGGTGAAATAGGAAGGTCTTAAGCGCGCGACGGAAGGAGCGCAGATCCGGGATCCTCCGTATCTCCGGGGGGAGCTCGTTCCAGATAGTAGGTGCCCCCACAGAGAAGGCTCTCCCCCTGGAGGCCGCCAGTCGACATTGTTTGGCCGATGGCACCCGGAGGAGCCCCTCTCTATGGGAGCGTACTGGTCGGTGGGAGGCTATTGGTGGTAGCAGGCGGTCCTGTAAATTGTGGTGCCGACCTGTGACAGGGAGCTTAACAACCGTCTTACTCACTTAACAATGGCAGATTCACTTAACAACTGTGGCAGAAAATGGGGGGAAATTGACTTAACAGCTGTCTTGCTTCACAGTGGAAATGGGAGGCTCAATTGTGATTGTAAATTGAAGATTACCTATATGGGAAACTTTCTTTCGTGATACTTCAAGGCCTAAAGATTGCAATTGGATTACAAGTTGAGTCAGCAGTGTGTCAGGGCTGCAAAAATAAATAAATAAATAAATACAATAAATCAATGTAATTATAGACTTCTTTTATCCAAGTCAAGGGATTTGCATTATTCTGTGCTAATTGGGCTTCATCATTAGCCCTGCAGCGAATAAGTATCTCAAGTTACCGAGAGGAACAAATAGAAACAGGCTGTGGGATGAAATAAATTGAGACTTTGGAAAAAAGTGCAGAGAAGAGGAACTAAGATGGAGACTAAAATATATAAAGAACGGCTGCAGGATTTGGGTTTGGCCAGTCTAGAGAAAAGAAGGACCAGATGGGACATGATAGCAGTCTTCCAGTATTTGAAGGGCTGCCACAAAGAAGAAGGTGTGAAGTTATTTTCCAAAACACAATGAGGACAATTCACCAGTGGAACAGCTTGCCACCAGAACTTGTGGGTGTTCCAACACTGGAGGTTTTTAAGGAGATGTTGGATAACCATTTGTCTCTCCTGCTCACACAGGGGGTTGGACTAGAAGACCTCCAAAGTCCCTTCCAACTCTGTTATGCTGTATTTGTAGGTGGTGGGTTCTGTGTGCTTCATCACCAGAGGCTTTTAAGAAGTCTCCTGCTTGAGCAGAAGGTTGGACTAGAACTGGTGGGTTTCTCCTGGTTCAGCCCAGTTCTCTCGAGCCAGTACGAACCAGTTCTGCCCCTTCGCCCCACCTGCGCCCCCACCCCCCCGCATTATTCTTACCTTTTATTTGGCCCCACCCCCAATCTATTGCTGCCTCCTGAGTCCCAGCTGATGGCTAGAGGGGAAAAAAAACTGTTTAAACTCTTGCCGCAGGGCTTCAAAGGGCCTCCCTACAGCTGATCAGTGTTAAAAGAAAACAAATGAGTAGATCATGCCTGCAAAAATAAATGGGTAGACCAGTGCCTGCAAAAATACATGAGTAGACCAGTCTCCTGCAAAAATACATGAGTAGACCAGTCCCTCAAAAATACATGAGTAGACCAGTGCCTGCAAAAATAAATGGTAGACCAATGCCTGCAAAAATGCATGAGTAGACCAGTCCCTGCAAAAATACATGAGTAGATCAGTGCCTGCAAAAATAAATGGGTAGACCAGTGCCTGCAAAAATAAATGGGTAGACCAGTGCCTGCAAAAATGCATGAGTAGACCAGTCCCTGCAAAAATACATGAGTAGACCAGTCCCTGCAAAAATACATGAGTAGACCAGTGCCTGCAAAAATAAATGGGTAGATCAATGCCTGCAAAAATACATGAATAGATCAGTGCCTGCAAAAATAAATGGGTAGACCAATGCCTGCAAAAATGCATGAGTAGACCAGTCCTGCAAAAATACATGAGTAGATCAGTGCCTGCAAAAATAAATGGGTAGACCAGTGCCTGCAAAAATACATGAGTAGACCAGTCCCTGCAAAAATACATGAGTAGACCAGTCCCTGCAAAAATACATGAGTAGACCAGTGCCTGCAAAAATACATGGGTAGATCAATGCCTGCAAAAATACATGAATAGATCAGTGCCTGCAAAAATAAATGGGTAGACCAATGCCTGCAAAAATGCATGAGTAGACCAGTGCCTGCAAAAATACATGAGTAGATCAGTGCCTGCAAAAATACATGGGCAGACCAGTGCCTGCAAAAATAAATGGGTAGACCAGTGCCTGCAAAAATGCATGAGTAGACCAGTGCCTGCAAAAAATAAATGGGTAGACCAGTGCCTGCAAAAATGCATGAGTAGACCAGTGCCTGCAAAAAATAAATGGGTAGATTGGTACAGCTCTGCAAGCAGTTAAAAGCCTGGTAGACCAGTACCTCTGCTAAATCCTAAAGAATTGTCACATGACCATCAAGCCACACCCGCAAAATAAGCCACGCCCACAGAACCGGTAGTAAAAAAAATTAGAACCCACCCCTGGACTAGAAGACCTCCAAGGTCCCTTCCAACTCCATTCTGATTGATTGACTCAACTGAATTCAACCTCAGCCTCAGATCTTTTCTGCCATGGAAGCAGGTTTTCCACCCTTCCCATTGCAACGAGTTCCATCCTGTTTTTTCTCAAAAGACTGTTGTTTGCTAAGCCCGATACTTACGTGCGATTGTAGCCATCGCGTTCCAAAGCTTTTCAGCAAAGAGAATTCACCCTGGCAAGCGAATTCATATTTTTTTTTAACCAGGAGCGATTTGCAAGTCACAGCCAACAAGGTGCAATTAGACGGTCGTTAACTCAGCCACTCCTTAATAGCAGCTTGTAATTAAGAAACTACTTTTGCAAACTGTCTTTCTTTTCCTGGCTTGCTAGCTAGACCGAAGGACAGGATTTGTTGATTTGTTAGTTTTAAAATACAATTTTGTAATGTCTGCTACCTTGTGGTCTTTTTTCAGCGCAAATAAATGTCGGTACTTGATTCTGTCCTTCCAAAGGAATGTTGTATGATTCTCCTTCTTCTTCCCCCCCCCCTTTGAGTGAAACATGTAGACATCTCTTTGGGTTTCCATTTAAATTCCTCACATTTTTGATGTTGGCCTGTCAGTCTTATCCCACAGCCCTCTAAACAAACTTAAACCGCAGTCACATTGGAAGCTCTCCGTGAATGAAAAGCCCTATTATGTCCAGAGTGGCCGCTGAGACACCCATGGACAAGAAAGGAGTACAAATCAACACAATAAGTTATTTCTACTTACACACACACACACACACACACACACACACAAAATGGCTGATAAGCTGAACTTCTATTTTGCATTGTTCTGCTGCAGCTTTTTCCCAACTCAGAGATAGCTTTGAATTTTAGGGACTAAGATTTATGTGAGGGTCCTTGGTGCTCTCTGAGCTTGGTTGTTTCCTTGTGAATATTTCATTACCCAATTAGGTAACATAGTCAGTGTTAGAAAGGAGGGGGTTTGCAGGGAGGAAGAGGAGGAGGAGGAGAACAAGGAGACCATCGAGAGGAGAAGGAGGGGGAGGATATAGATAGGAGAAGGAGCAGGAGAAGGAGAAGAACAAGGAGAATATATAGAGGAAGAGAATATAGGAGAAAAGAGAAGAGGAGGAGGAAGAAGAGATGGAAAATATAGAGAGGAGCAGGAGGAGGAGGAGAATATAGGAGAAGGAGAACATAGAGAAGAGGAGGAGGAAGAAGAGAAGGAGAATATAGAGAGGAGCAGGAGAAGGAGCAGGAGAAGGTGGAGAACAAGAAGAATATCGAGAGGAGGAGGAGGGAGGATATAGACAGGAGAAGGAGAAAAAAGAATATAGAGATGAGGGAGAGGAGGAAGAAGAAGAAAAGGAGAATATAAGGAGGAGAAGGAGAAGGAGAAGAATGAGAATATAGAGAGGAGGAGGAGGAGAATATAGAAAGGAGGAGGAGGAGAATATAGAGAGGAGGAGGAAGAAGAGAAGAAGAATATAGAGAGGAGAAGGAGCAGGAGAAGGAGAAGAACAAGGAGAATTTTGAGAGGGGGAGGGGGAGGGTATAGACAGGAGAAGGAGAAGAATAAGTAGAATATAGAGAGGAAGAAGAGGAGAATATAGTGAGGAGGAGGATATAGAGGAGAGGAGGAGGAGAATATAGAGAGAAGGAGAAGAAGGAGAATATAGAGAGGAGGAGGAAGAAGAAGAGAAGGAAAATATAGAGAGGAGAAGGAGCAGGAGAAGGAGGAGTACAAGGAGAATATAAACAGGAGGAGGAAGGAAGGAAGGAAGGAAGGAAGGAAGGAAGGAACGAAGGAAGGAAGGAAGGAAGGAAGGAGGAGAAGGAGAGGGATACAGACAGAAGAAGGAGAAAACTGGATAATCAACTCTCAATGACTGCAGGGTGATTAAAAAAAAGTTGAAGATGGTGGCCACAATCATACAACACGTGTGAAAACGGGCTAGGGTTTTGATTGCACAGTTGTGGTAGCCACTTTTGCTGGCCTGTGTGTGTTTGTATGTATGTCTGCATGTGGCGTGCACACGCCTTTCAGTCACTCTTCATTCTTGGTGATTGCTTGACAAGTCGCTGCAGTTTTCTTGGCAAGATGTCAGAAGTAGTTTGCCATTGCCTCTTTCCTAGGGCTGAGAGAGAGGGATTGGCTCACAGTTACTCAGCTGGCTTTGTACCGAAAGCGAGACTAGAACTCACTGTCTCCTGCTTGGTGCCTTCATCGCTATGCCAAACTGGCACCAAACATCCACATCTAAGGGAGGATTAAATGACCTTTTTTTCCCCCATTTTTGAAGAAACTGAGTAACTGAGATGCACACTCATTAAAGGAGAGTCAGACTGAACTATAATTTCTGTCTAGCTCCATGAAACCTGAGCTCATTGGAAACTAAAAATGGGTGCAACTTTCATTTGCTTTTCAAACCACCAATGGAAACTCTTTGAGATCCTTTCATGTAATGTTTGGGCTAATTTTAGACCATATATCTATATTTGTCTTCTGGAAAACAAACTTCTTCTTCTTCTTCTTCTTCTTCTTCTTCTTCTTCTTCTTCTTCTCTTCTCTTCTTCTTCTTCTTCTTCTTCTTCTTCTTCCTTCTTCTTCTTCTTCTTCTTCTTCTTCTTCTTCTTCTTCTTCTCCTCCTCCTCCTCTTTTTCCTCCTCCTCCTCCTCCTCCTCCTTCTCACTGTTTCCATTTTCCTCAGCAACTTAATGATACTCTGCTTGAAACTTTTCTTCCACATTTGTGGTTAGGCTTTCCTGCACTTTTAAGCACTCTGTGGTTGGCACTTTTTAAACCACGATTCGGGAGATATCCTTTCAGCTGCTACAAATTTAGAAAAGTGGGCCAGGTCATAAAGAAACAAGTTCTTAAAAATTCCTCCATACCCCAGCAGGATATGCATTCACTTTTTCCTCTTACTCCTTTCCCTTTCTGCAGACCAAGAACTATTTTCGGCCATGTATATTGATTTCATGGGCACCGACGCGGCCATTTTTCGCAGCTTAACCAGACGGAATGCAGTGAGGACCGATCAACACAACTCGAAATGGCTAAGTGGTAAGACGTTCTCGCTCACATTCTGTTGACTTTGTTCCCCCATAGAGTGGATAAAGAGTTCTTTGGCTCTGGGCAGAATATTTTATCATGTACATCAGGAGAAAAAAAACCCCGATGTTAGAAAATAGTAGTATCAACACTCTTGGGGTAAGAGGTTTTTGAGTTATGGAGTTGCAAGCCAAAATAACGTTTTGCCTTTGAATCTGCAGTCCTAGATGAAGGACTGCAGTTCATCTTTGAAAGTCCTAGATGTCTATGGAGATTCTCAGTCATCCAGGTCCTGGTTGTCCCAAAGGTGCTTTTTTCAAGAAGCAACAGGACTTCCTTGTTTTTTTCTTTTGAAGACGTTTTGCTTCTCATCCAAGAAGCTTCTTCAGCTCTGATTGGATGGTGGGGAAGGGAAGGATTGATACTCCTTGCAGACAGCTGGTCATTTGCATCCTTTTAGAGGGTCATTGAGGCCACTTGGAGGTTTCTCTGTGTCCTCAGGGTCACCCGAGTGGTGCAAATGGTTGTGGAGCAGCGGTGAAATGCTCCCGGTTCAGACCGGTTCAACCGAACTGGTAGCGATGGTGGCCGATGGTTCGGAGAACCGGTAGCGATTGCAGTGTGAGGCTCCGCCCACCCACTCGGGGTCATTGAGGCCACTTGGAGGTTTCTCTGTGTCCTCAGGGTCACCTGAGTGATGCAAATGGATGTGGAGACTTCTTGGAACTGCTGAAAGGAGTTGTGTTGTAGACTGGAGATAGATGATGCAATATCCCTCCCCCTCTGTTGAGGGAGGGCTGTTCAATTTTGACATAGATTTGCCTCTTTGATCCCTCTTTCAAACCATTACTGCTTCCCTAAATCCCAAAGGTGGTATTTTTTTTTTTCAAGAGGCAACTGGACTTTCTGATTTTTCTTTGAAGACATTTTGCTTCTCATCCAAGAAGAAGGTTCTTGGATGAGAAGCAAAATGTCTTCAAAGAAAAATGAAGAAAGTCCAGGTGGCCTCAACGACTCTCTAAAAAGGATGCAAATGACCAGCTGTCTGCAAGGAATATAAATCCTTCCCATTTCCCCACCATCCAGTCAGAGCTGAAGAAGCTTCTTGGATGAGAAGCGAAATGTCTTCAAAGAAAAATGAAGAAAGTCCAGGTGGCCTCAACGACTCTCAAAAGGATGCAAATGACCAGCTGTCTGCAAGGAATATAAATCCTTCCATTTCCCCACCATCCAGTCAGAGCTGAAGAAGCTTCTTGGATGAGAAGCGAAACGTCTTCAAAGAAAAACAAGAAAGTCCAGTTACCTCCTGAAAAAGCACTTTTGGGATTTAGGGAAGCAGTAATGGTTTAAAAGAGGGATCAAAGAGGTCCTCCATGTCCATTAAACAGCTCCCTCTGAACAGTGGGGAAGAGATATGATCTTATCTATCTCCAGTCTACAACACAATCTTTTCAGCAGTTTCAAGAAGGCTCCACACCCATTTACATCACTTAGGTGACCCCGAGGACACAGATAGACTTCCAAGTGGCCTCAACAATCCTCTAAAAGGATGCAAATGACCAGCTGTCTGCAAGGAGTATCAATCCTTCCCTTCCCCACCATCCAGTCAAAGCTGAAGAAGCTTCTTGGAGGAAAAGTGAAATGTCTTCAAAGAAAACCAGGAAGTCCAGCTGCCTCTTGAAAAAAAGCACCTTTGGGAAAGTCCTGCTAGAATGCATCAAATGTTCCTGCGCTTCTTGTCCTGCCTTTGGGTGCTTTGGAGAATAGCTTGGTTGCCCTCTTCTCTGTGGCGAATGTGTGCTTCTCATTGACCTGTGCTTCTTTGTTGTTATTTCAGAGCCCACCTTTGTGGATGCTCATCTCATCCCAGATGGCACCGACCCCAACGATGCGAAAGTGTACTTCTTCTTCAAGGAGAAGCTGATGGACAACAGTGGCACCACCAAACAGATCCACTCCATGATTGCCAGAATATGTCCCGTAAGCAAAGATGTCCATATGCCGCTAAGGACGTGAGCGATTCACAGTTGATGGGATAAGGGGAAAGATCAGGAGAATGAGGCATCTAAAATCGTGACGTGTTTTGTGTTTACAAATGTTTAAACCTGGGGTGAAATGTTCCCGGTTCAGACCGGATCGCTCGATCCGGTAGCGATGGAGGCGGGTGGTTTGGAGAACCGGTAGCAAAAATCCCTGCCCTCCCCCATTGCCCAGCTGAGCCGCGCAATCATCAGAAGCTTTTTTTTTATTTTAAAAAACATTTTTTCTACAACTTCTTTGGCCAAAAAAAAATGCTTTTAAAAGTTAAAAAAAACCGCCTCTGATGATCACGCGGCTGTGATGTGCCATCATTTGCATGGATTACGGTTGTTTTCCCATAAAAAGATAATTAAACGTTCAAATATAAAAATCTTCAGCATTCTAAATCTTTAATCTCCTTTTCATATCCAGCATATGATCTAATATCCTGAGGAGGTTGGTTTGCTTTTTTGAAAGGGATGGGCCAGTGACGGAATTCAAATTTTTTTACTACCAGTTCTGTGGGTGTGGCTTGGTGGGCGTGGCAGGAGAAGGATACTGCAGGGGAAGGATACTGCAAAATCCCCATTCCCTCCCCACTCTAGGGGAAGGATACTGCAAAATCCCCATTCCCTCCCACTCCTGGGTGAAGGATATTGCAAAATCTCCACTCCTACCCCACTCTGGGGCCAGCCAGAGGTGGTATTTGCAGGTTCTCTGAACTACTCAAAATTTCCACTACCGGTTCTCCAGAATCTATCAGAACCTGCTGGATTTCACCGCTGAGATGGACACTAGAATAGTTCCTTTGTACATTTTTTTTTAAAAAAAATGTTTTGCTTTTAAGTTGATTAATCTTTGCCAAAACATGACCCATGACCTAGATTTTGCACTGCTGTTTTATTCTTCTTATTTAATTCCTTTTTAATAAAGAGCCTGGAGATATTTATCAGAAGATACTAAATATGATTAAAATCCTTGTTGTTTCTAATGAAGCCCAGGTGATTTCTTCAAAGATTTGGGACACATTTTTTTTTCTTTCCTCGAATCCTCTGTGCCAAAATGTGAAAAACAGGCTTCGAAAGATTGTGATCTGAATGCGTGTGGTGTGTCTGTATTGCATTTCTGATGACGTTCTTACAATTTGGCATCGAGAATCTTATGCAGAGAGTTGGCCGAAGACCAATGCTACTTTAATAAGTCCATTTCAACACCGGAAGATGGAAGCAACGTTGAAAGTCAGTCTTCCCATTGTAGAAACACTGTCGGATCACAAGTTTAATGAGCACTTTGCAATTCAATGAGGCAATAAATCAAAAGCACAAAGACAGGAGAAAAGAGCAACAAAGGAAGGGCATAAAACTATGTGCATTGATGTCCAATCAGCAAATAAATCGATAACTATCTAAATAAGGTGCAATCCTTCAACATTATACCATGACTGTTGTTATTTTTTATGCCTGTGTTATTTGATTAAACATCATTTTCTTCAGCAAGGGATTTTGTAGCTTCCTTCAATCTCTTTATTTGTTTAATTGCTCAGGAAGCAAATTCATTAGTTAATTACCAATCAAATATGGTGAGGATTATTCTGAGGGGAAGTAACAGATACATTCAAAACTTAAACAAATCTGTTTATGATGCATCCAAAGAAGAATAGATAGGAAAAGAAAGAGAGAGAGAGAGAGAGAGAGAGAAAGAGAAAGAGAGAGAGAGAGAGAGAGACAGAGAGAGACAGAGAGAGAGAGAGAGAGAGAGAGAGAATTTAGAATTTAGGAAGAGAAGAGTGTGTATTTCTCTACAATACCATTAATCCTTTATCATTTCAATTTAGGAAGAGAAGAGTGTGTATTT